CCCTTTGTTTGCAACAAGGTAGAAGGTCTACATTAGTTTCCCTACTTCTGCAGAAGCTTTTTTGGAGGCACAACGTCACAATCCTTTATCGCCCCTCCTTCAACATTTCTTCTCGTTCTCTTCAGTCACAATCATTCGTTCTCAAAGTTCTCTGCAAGGTTCTCGTTATCATGGTCTCGTTTTCAAGGTTTTTGTTTTTAAGGGTTGCTAGTTACTGCATTCCGATTGGTCACAAAACCTCGTTTGGAAGCTTTCGATCCTATGTCCATCTGATACGAATTGTACACTCTGCTATGCTTCGACATACGTGTTTTGGAATATTCGTACATCCATGCAGTCATTTGGCTCTAAACCATGACAACAGTCTTCTTCTGGCCCCTATTTTCTTGACTTCCATCTGAAAAATCAAGACTTTGCACATTGTCTCAAAAAGATCTAAATCTTTTAGTCAATCAAGTTTTTCTAACTCTTCTTTGGTCGGTACTTCTTTTCGATTGCTCTCCATAACATGAGCTTCCGGCCATTGAATCACCATCATAAACCCGACTATCACTATTGTTATGCGCTGTGATGAGTCTGGTAATTCCATGGAGAGCAGCTCCCCAGAGTCCCAGACCAACACCAGATTACTTGGCCCAGGATACCACCATGTTTGTAGCAAACAATGGCGTGGGAACTCAACATGTGTCAACGTAATGCTTTTTCAATTTCGTTTCCCCGAAGTTTCCAGTAGTGGTTCCATTTCCATCATCACTCAGCGGATTTCATCTTTATCGTCTACTGTATTGTAATCCGTCGCTGTTGATCCGTTCGGCTTGTGTCTTTAAAAATCACTGAATTTCTCACTTGCATATCCGATGAACTTCTTTCCTAGTATTGGTTCCAACTCGTCCTTGGTTCTTCCTTGATGCGCGGCAAAAATCGTACAGAAAAACTTTTAAGATTTCTGCGACATTTTCTGGACTTCAGCAGTGTCGCCATCGATTTTTTTGTGAGACTAAGCTCCTTGTTTGAGAATCTTCGTATTTCATCGATCTTCTTCAGGGATTCCAGTTCCACAGGTTCTTTCATTTTCAACAGCTTTGGCTTGCTTTGATGAATGTCCAATAGCGCTTGTAAGAGCAAGGTCTTCGCTAGGTTTCTGTTTCTCTCAGCTTTTTGCACAGGTCTTCAGCGCTGGTACTGACATTTGTTCCAACGAACTACTGCTGCTCGTTCACAGATCATAAGGTCTCTTAGACTAGTCATCAAGAACATCTTCTCAACTCTCGGCCTTTTCCTTTCTTCCGAGTCTGACTTTCCAATCGTCAGTGCCGCCATACACCAAGCAAATCTGAGTAGCAGCTCAATTCTGACGTACGGTATCGCTAATAGAGCTTGTATATTCGGGCTAGTTTGCATTTTTTCTTCAAAGTGACGTAGTACTACTGCTCTCCAAGGCAAAATCACCAATTGATCCACTGTTTCCGCGTGCATTTCTGAGGTAACTAAGGTTCCATATGCTTTTTGCTTTATCACCGTGCCCTGTATCGTTTTTTTCCAGGTAACATTCCATGGCACCTTTATTTTCCAGAGCGATCAGGTGTCCTCTAGCTGAGTTCCTATAGTCCTTCATTTCCATTTGTCCACCTGCGGGCTCGTATGACGAGACGGTGTCCGATACTGTCAATCGGTTGTATGTCACTGGGGTCAGCTGTCCTATGACGCTTCCCTCTCCGTGATTCATGCATGATGGTCTGAAATATCGAACCACATTGGCTAAGTATTTCGATTTCTAGGGTAATTCCAGTAAGAGTGCGGTTACTCCTCTTAATCTTTTAGCTGGTTGACCTTAATTCCGCCATGAGGATAGGTGGTACCATTGTTACATCGGTCATCGTTTTGGATGTGCCAGGCAATCTGTCATCGCATTGCACTATATCAATGACATCCTCGACTCGTTTTTGTTTTGCTGAGTTAACAGCCTTTGCCGAAAGTTGAGCATCCATTTTCGTCTCCCCAGTTTTTCTCAAATTTACCTTGTTGCCAACTTCATCTTCATGTCATTAATCTTGTCAATCACCATTTTCCATCGCATCGTTCCTTTTTTTAGTTGTGGACACGTATACAACTTCTTCGTTGACTTCTTGTTGTGTCACCTTGATCGGATAATTATCCTCACTTTAGTCAGTGCCAGAATTAATTAATAAATCGCTCATCCTCCCTTCACATTCGTCCAATTTGTCAAGGATTTCCCGCATCAGTTGTCTGTTGAGACCTGTTTTCAACATGGACTGGATCTTCTACCACTGCACCACCCTCGAGACTTCATCCATGAAAACAACTCGGACCATACCATTTTTTCCTGACCTTGAAGGTCCATGCTCGTCGTTTTTCCTTTCGACTTGCTAGCTGACCGGCCTTTTCTTCTCATTGTTTTATCACAATTTCCTCACAGTCGAAGGGAGCTAGAGATGTCCTAGTCCGCAGCTTCCCAGTTATTACCAATTCTGGTTTCACACTCATTACTATCAGTGCGGCTTCTTGCAAGCCTGCCTTGCCTCTCATTGTATTTTGCGCCAGGTCCAACTTGACCCATTCTTCCTCGAATCTTCCAGGTTTCGGGGGTGGCTGAGTTGCTCATCCACATATGTAAACTGGGTTTATTGCAGCACAGCAGCATTTCTGCCTTTGAAGCACGGGTCCATCGATCCAGAGAATTTTGCCATTCTACTTTCGTTGGTCTCAAAGGCTCTCAACCTAGGAGTGTGTACTACGGAGTCTGCTCCGAGCAACATCTTCCGAGTTCAGGAAAAATCAAGTATCTCTTCTGGTAGGTTTTTGTAATCGCCCCAGTCTTCAGTTACTTTGCTCACATTCTGGCATGGAACTATTATACGAGGAGTTCTAGCTATTTCACTGTTCGTTCTGCCGTAGAGTCTCAAATTCAAGAGCTTCGGAAACACCTCGATATTCCCTCTATCCATTTCGCCCATTCGGTCACGGAAGTGGTCATTGAAGTTTGCTGCTGTCATTGAGTGTGCTCCAGTCCACAGCTGAAGCTGAATTGAGGTTCATGTGCAACACCGACCTTCTGTAGGCGTCCACCTCCGCATCAGGGAACGCCAACGTCACTGCTGGACCGTATACTGTCGTCACAAACTCGCTGGTTCCCATGATCAGTGCTAAAGGATCTGTCCTCATAGCTAGGTTTAAATCGGTAAGTAGGGGCATGCCCCCCGCATAACGTCGCACGTCCTTTTCTTTTTTCAAATGTCTCGTCTTCTCCGGTTCCAAAGCGATTCTGTTGAAGGAGCTATTGGATCAGAGTATGTCTTAGATCCTGTATTCTAGTCCAAGAGTCCGTAGACCTCTTCATCTCGAGGTTTTTCACGTAATCCTTCATCTGCTCGGGGTAGCCGTTTAAATTCGTCAATCCTCCCAACTTTTCATGCGTGATCGCAATCAATGTCAGGAGTTCATCCAGTCGGAGATTTTGTATTTCTCCAGTGTGCAATACTGCTAGTCTTTTGTGAAAATTTCTGCTCCAAACGTCACAAACAGGATCATCACGATAGCATGATAGCCCTTTTTGAGTAGCGCTATCAATGCATACACAAACTTTAGTCCATTCGGGAGATGTTCATATCCTGGGGATAACACGAACACTGGCTTTGGCGTTACTTTCTGGAAACCGCCCTCCGTTAACACGTCCATGGTCTCGCCAATGGACTCCAGAATGTCTTTGATTGCTGGCCACATCGCGTC